TTGAAAAATTTCTTTGCGATAAACAATAATTTCATAATCGAGATATAATTATACTCATAATTATGTTCATATATGATATATATATATAACGAGATAACTCATAAATTGTGCTATTATTCTATAATTACGAATATCAATGGCAATTACGCGATAGTCTCAGTTGACAGGTGAAATTGCCAACCTCCCTTTTCCCTTTGGTGACATTTTAATTACTGCCGGCAATATCGATAGCGTAAGAATTGTGAAATACAACGCATGAGATAATCGGCGAAAATGTCACGTGTCATTATTACAACTTATCGTTTTGTGTCGGTTGCATAATGCATACTGCGTCATCGCATAACCCGATGCAACTGAGCGAGTTGCACTGTACGACAAAGAGTGACAAATTATCGTGGCTAGAGTGACGACGAAATTTTAATGTAATAACTCAGCTTTTGAGCATTGTATACAGACTACAATCATAATGTTACCAGACATACCATCATTAGTTTGTGCTAATCAAATGTAATTTTCAACGTTGATGTTTATGACAATGTTTAAAGTCATCCGCTGCTGTGTTGATTTTGTGATGTGTAAAAATATATACAGTGAGAGCAAAAAATATTCGTACAAAGAAATTTTTTATAAAAGAAATCTTATTTGTAGAAAATAAACATTAATTAGTAATTTTATATAATGAATACATTCTGTTGTATAATATAAACAAACGAGCTTCGCACGTATTCCTAATTTTAAAAGCTAAATTTCTCATCTGTACGAATATTTTTTGAGCATTCAAACAATTTTTAATTTTCGCTTATTTTTCAGATGATATATTTTCTATAATTAATACACATCTTTTTGGTATGAATAATTTTAAGAAACATGCAGTTTATTTTATTCTTTATGAATAAATTGTTAATTATACAGCAAGAAATGATCGTAACTTAAACGAATCGATGTCGAATTGGTGTTGAAGTCATTGTATCGATGTTGATTCAACATCAATTCGATGACTTATTTCTCGCTAATATTTACTTTTTAAAAATAAAGTTTTTTAAAAAAATATTTGCTCTGTATGAATACATTTTGCACTCATTGTATTTATCTTGAATTCTTATTCAATTCGAGAAACTCAGAAATAATAGATTATAAATTTGTTCCTTTCTTATTATATTATGTGTCATGAATTATTTACCGTTAGCTTTTAATGAAATAATACAGAAGCAAGAAATCTTAATAATTACGCAAATAGATGTGCGTCATACTTTTATTAGTAAGAAATCAATTCGTAATTTTTAAACAGCTTGAGGATATATACTAAGAAAATTATTATACTTTATACAAATCAAGAAAAATAAATTAACTAATTATTCAAAAATAATTACTCAAGCAATAAATATAGAGGAAAACGCTAGATTAATCGTAAGTTATTTCAAACATTATTTCGGGAAACATAGCAATGCGAGACATTTTTGTGTAGTTTGTCTATTTTTAATGCAAAACTTCGAAGTTACATAAGAAAGAAACCTTCAAGTGATAAGGCTAAACAAATTTGCGTCTTCAACATTGTGCGCGAGCAAGGAGCACGTTCCTTTTGAGAACCGGGCCTCAGTCTTGATCTGTTAAGGTCGCGTTATGCCGGTGGAACGTGAGCAACAGCCACCTCTGCATTTTCTCACTGCACGTTCGTTGGCGTGTCGCTTTGTAATAATAACGGCGCAGCCATTGCAACATGAAGGCGAGACGCGCCTTTCATTACAGTCGCTGTAGCGCGCACCAAAAGCACCTAATTGCAGAGATTAGAAACGGCAACAAAAAGAAAACAGTCACGAAAAAAATCGCACAAAATTCCCCGACGTTCTTCACAACAATTTTGGACAGATATTTATTATTCTGCAGAAAACATAAATATGATATGGCCATGTGACGAAAAAATATAGCAATCTTAATTTAAATTTTTTAAATAATTCGTAGACAAATCTTTCTTTATAATTGTAAACTCTTGAGACAATTATTTCTGTTGTATAAAATTTAAACTAAAAGGATTTCACAAAATAAATATTTTCATTACAATATCAGAAGACACGGAGTGTCGGTGCTAAGATAAGTCGGTGCGAAACGACGAGACCAACCGTGTATCTTTACGTTAAAAATTAGTCTCAAGAAAATGCTCGGAAATTTTAATTTTTTCATTTGAAATTTAGGGTTAAGACACAATGGACTACTCTGAGTGGATCTTCAATAGAGGACTTTCCGAGTTAGAAGGCTTTCCGAGTTATTATTATTAATTTAAGGTTTTGTGAGAAATTGTTTGCAAAATCACTGTTACATTTCAAGCTTTCACGCACTCACTCGATCGATATCTAGGGCGAGCGACCGATTATTTCCCATTACGAAAGGCTTCGTAAATCGCGCGTGTACCAGTATCGTCGTTAAGCAGCCACTTTACCTTGTTACATAGTCAGATAATGAGATTTCCTATGTATCTGCCACGAACTCCAAGGGGTAAGAACTGATCCTAAGCTATACACTTGCCTAAATATATATGTGGTATATAAAACGCTATACGAAGATCTGTATAAAGGGTGCTCTCATTCCTTTGTACAAAATACAAATTTAAAGCAACGTTCTCAAGCATGAAACAAAGAAAAAATTCGTATCAAGTAACCGTAGAGTTAGTTTTAATAATTATAAAATTTTATAATTATTCAAAATTTAAAACTGATTTTATCTATCAATAATTTTATTGTAAAGAGAGCCTGAACGTTTTTAGGAAACAGTGATAAAATGGTGACGAAGTATTCTGAATTTAACATTCATCCTTTCTTCCTTCTGAATATAGAATTCGCAACTTCGAGCGAATAATATTCCGTTTTTCGACAGAATAAATTTTTTGTAGTGAGACAAGTTTACACGTTTCAGTAAATTCATCAAAATTGGAGTGACTAGCGCGCGATTGAGATGATAGTCGATGGCTGTGAATTATTAATGTGGCTTCAAGGGAGAAAGGAGGGAGGGCCACAGATAATTTTGCAGCGAGGCGAATGTGATTACGCGGTTCGTTACATGTATCTAGCATCAATGTTACTTAACGTGGTTGGATGCACACGCTCAAAGTATTCATCGCAACGTTGAAAATCACGTTACAGCCAGTTTTGTGATAATAATGATAATTGTAATAAGCGATGTACCATTATACGAAAAAACATTTCAGAATTTAATGATAATTCGTGTTTTGTATCCATCAATTATTTATCAGCTAAACAATCCGCAGAACGGCAATTATTACATTGGTGGACAATTCAATGATTAAATTTCACCGCAGATAAATGGAACCGATTGAACATAACAAGAGAGTGATTTGATCCACTCTTTCACTCGGCCGCTTTGGAAGCATGTATTTTCGGTTCGTGACATTGTTCAATTTCATTCAAAACGCTTTCCTCTCAACGCATTGTGAAAAACGTCGAGTAATTATTGAGGCGTTGAAAAATGCAAAGCCCTTTTTAAAAGGATTGATTTTTAAAAAAGCTTCCTCTTTCGCATAAATCATAACTTATTTAATGTTTCTTCTTAATTTCGAACATATTATACATATATATGAAAAAATGATTGACTGTACATGATATACAACTCAAAAACTAGAGTTAAATAACATTAAGATTATAAGACAACGCTGAATAAAATTAATGATTGTCTAGCCAGTAAATATATTAATCTTTTTATAGCTACATAAATCAAAAATTTTGTATTTTGAAGAATTGTAATAATTATTCCAACCAATAATGAGCGTGTAATTTTAATCGATATTAAGTGGATACATTTAAATAGCGTTAAATTACATATGCCTTCTTACAAATTCCATTCCATCGTTCTACTTTAATAAATAAAGTATATTCATTTTGATAGCATTTATTTGTTATAGCATTTATACGTCATTGAATTATTTTAATAGCTTTTAGCTTCATTGAACATTAAACACTGTTAGTCACAAATATGAAGAAAAAGGTTTGTTGAGAGATGAATTGAGTTAACAGCTTTCCGTGTAATTATTCGGGAACAATTTGTCTAAAATCATTAACAGTGTAGTAGTACCATTGACTACAAATCCAACTCAATTATCGCGGACAAGAAATCTTCTACGAAATCTCTTGCGAAACTTCGCCCGAGGAAAGTTCACGTCAACAGTGCACAGTGCAGAAGGAAGACAGTAGTCTGTCGTTTGTGTACGCTCACGGATTCGCACCCCTATTAATAATACAACAATAATGCCAACGCGAATTCACGCGAGCGTGGCGACGAACAACGACGAGTCGGCCGATTATTAAGCCGGGAATCCAACACCTACGATTAACACGGAATTACCGGGACACATTGCATCTCCCGTCGTCGTGATAATGCACTCGCGCAATGATGGAATTTAAGCTGTGGAATCCGCACGAGAGTCGGGATGTGCACGCCGAGTAACTTCCAAGATGCGCTTTGCGAAATTCACATGGAGCTAGAATTGGTACTTAACGCTTCGCCGAAGACGCAGAACGTAGATTTATTGCAAGAGATATATAGCAAGTCGGAAACTCGATATGTTCGCCAAACGTTCCAAATGGTTTAACTTACCAATTCGAGTTAGTAGATTAATAAATGATTTCCACATAAATGACGAAAGTTTCAAATTTACGAGATATTTTCCAATGTATAAAATTATATTCGTAAGCAATAACTTAGTTAATTATCTAAAGAGTCCATTTAAAAATTCAACATCTAAAAGTTAGAATAATTAAAAAATTATTTATTCAATTTTAAGATATTTGACCTCAAACATTTAGAAGAACAAAATTCGAATCCCTAATATTTAAATATTCCGTGTTTTATGCTCGATATACAATATGTGACAACATCTTTTTATAATTTGTTAAATAATATCCCAAGAGGCGACTCGTGTAACACTCGTCATAACACTGGTGCCTAGTAAAAAAGCCAAAGCCGGATGAATAAAGCAAACAGACGACACTTACCTGGTCGCATTGATCGTGAAGATGGTCTCGATGGATCGACGATCGAGCACACCGCCGCTAAGCAGATACTGAACGGCGATCAGGGCAAGGACGACGCAGGCGAGCGCCTTGAGATGGGCACGATGCCACAGTGCCACGGCTGCGGCGGCCACAGGCATTGCATGCGCGAGACACCATAACTCCTTTCTAGTCGCCGTTAGAGGAGCACCACCGTGCACCACGAGGCACTCCTCCCTGCTGGCCGCTTCCAGTTTCAGCTGCAGTTGCAGCCCTCAGGCCAGGGACCGACCCTGTTGCAGTTCTTCTTCTCCTCCCTGAATGAGGGGAACGAAGGGAGAAAAGCCTCCTGGGGCTCCTCACTTTCGCTCACTAGGAGCATCACCCTCGCAGCGCCTCGCGACCGTCCCCTCGGACGATAATACCTGTGCGAAACAGAAATGTTCGGAAACGTTAAGAAAGTTTCTTGCTTTCTGAGGGATCTATTATAATTAATAATTAATTTGTTAATTATTAATTAATATCAATATCGTTATCAGTTTTTTATATATAAAGCTTTATCATAAAATTAATCATATACACAATTTAATTATATCGTGAATTACTTTATTTATAATTAGGTACAGGGAATATACATTTATTAAAATTTATTTCGATAATCTGGTCTATTGGACTAATTATCTTCTATAATTTATTAACATGTCATAATATCGATTTCGTCTTTAATCAATTATTCTCAATTTTGATTCGCTGGAAGGAGAGAATATTTTCGTGACATAAACATGTAAAATATGAAAGAGACACGTGAGATATGTTTAAAATTTCTATAAAAAGGAGTAGCAGAACCAGATGATAAAATATTATCTTTACGTATTTAAATTCAGATTTAATTATAATAAATGTGGATACCGGTGGCTCCGTGTGTGCGACGGATTCGTAAATTCATAACCGAGGTCGCAAGTTCAAACCATGCGTCTCTGCATAATTTTGTAATCTATATTGACTTTCACAGAAGAATTCCTTTGATCTAGGTGACTTTTTGAGTAGGTTCAGACAAGGACTGATATAATTCCACTTATTCCCCTCTTATTACTATTACTATTATGTCACAACTAAAATGTAGGAAAAATATTTTATTATTAATCAATATTCTTTTCCACAGAATGGCAAAAAAATATGAGGATAGATTTAAATAAAAAATTAATGCGTTCTCCTTCTTGTGAATAAAGAAAAATTTAAGTGCGATATGTATAGAGATGCGAATTTTTCACGAGATCTTTCGCTTGACCTCGCCTTCAAGTTCCTAGCTAATATCACGCGGAGCCATTAACACCGTAAACTGTAAAATTTATAGCAAGGAAAAATGTAATAATACCAGCAGCATCGTATACTTTCCGAAAGTTACGACTCGTGTTCGATGAAATGAAAAGGAAGTTCTTAAAGATACGGAAAATTAAAAACGTTATATATGACAGTATTAAAAATGAGCTTACCCAACAGTATTATAATTCTATTGCCAATTTTTATTGAGATATCACTAATGTCGACAATTTTGTTATGTAGTATAATTCTTTCGTAGCCTATTTGTATAAAAGTAAATGTAGCATTATTCAATTTTGAAAAAAAGTTAATTAATATTTAATAATCAATATTAATTAATATTTAATAGTCAATCATTTTAGTATATAAAGACGGAAGCTTCTTATTGAATAATGTAAAAAATATAAAAATCTAATTAATATATTTTAAAAAATTTCCAAGAAAAGGAAAACAGAAAAATCAATTTTTTGCAGACAAAAAAGAAATAATGTGCTATTTTTTTTTAAATAGTATAAAAAATTGTGTTCCACCAACGTGATATTAATATATCTATGAGTTCATTTCTACAAACAGATGATAATAACATTAACGAGAAACGTAGCCAAATCCGATACGATGTCGAGGAAATCACTACATTATTGGAACTTCATCGGATCAAACTACATCAGTTACTCCATACCACGCAGACCGAAACTAATCCGAGTTTATGTGCTGGGGAAGCTTCTGAATAGTCGTGTTTAACGAGTTAGCGGACTTATCGACCTGCGATGGCAGCTCATTCAATTGTTTTGGCACAATCTTTATTATAGTAATTCGTCTATTAAAAAGTAATTATCGGCCTTTATTACCGCCGATAATACGGCGGAGATTTCAGATCCTGGCTCGTTCTGTATATTTTCGGTTTTGATTAATCTATTGATTAATTAATTGGTAAATTTGCTAGACTACATGAATAAACACGCGTATGGTTCTATGCGAACACGCAACTCCGCCTGTAATTCGTTACGAGTTACGATGCAGCGAGAGTGAGATTAAGAAGAAAACTTTTGCAATTGCAAATTTGGAGTGAAAAAAAAGAATCGAGTTGACACACGATGCTTTATTGTCAGTAATTACAGAACAAAAACTGAATTCTAACAATCTGTAAGCCTTATTTTCATTTCATATTCCTTTTTTTTTTTTTTTGTAAAATCAGTAACACAAACAAAAATTATAATAATGTATTCATATACTGCTGGACAAAAACTTAATTCTAACAATCTTTAAGCCTTATTTTCATTTCATATTCCTTTTTTTTTTTTTTGTAAAATCAGTAACACAAACAAAAATTATAATAATGTATTCATATACTGCTGTTTTTAATTATATTTGTGTGTATAATTGTACTCCACATTAAATATTCTTTAAACAAAAACAAGTGGATTGATTCAACAATTTTTCATTTATTATATATGTACATATATATATATATATAATATAATTTATTAAATATAAATTGTAATAAAAATAATCATTTGAAAACATTCATTGCTTATTACTATTACTGTTCTTCTAACTTGTACATTTCCATATTTCTTTCTCAGACATGTATTTCATTCACTCGATTTATTCTATTATCATAAAATATCTCTTGTAGTCTTTTTTCCTCGTGTATATTATTATATATATGAAAGACGAATATTTATGTATTCCGTGCTAAGAGGTCTGGAATATTGCTTCCGTCCTCTCCTTCTTGTCTTTCGCGTGTTTCGACGTAAAACAATGCTAAAGGTAGGTCGTGCTCTCCGTCTATTCATACCATGAGCGCCTATGTTTAATATGCAGTCGTAATTCCAACCCCCTGCCTGTAATTCTCTCTTCCTTCCACCTCCCTCTCTCACTCTCTCTTGTCCTCTCTTGTTGTTACTAGCTGCCCGCGCGTTATCGTCCGGCTCCACTCTAGCGTACGATATAGTGCGCCCTGATTTCTCTTTGAAAATAGATGACGGTATATTACGAGTGACACTGATATGAGGAAGGATAAGATACGATCTCATGCTATTAGAAAAAAATGTAACCGGCGGTGGAATCTCGTGAGGGGAAAAATTATGGGATATATTTTGATATATGAAATCCAGACCGCTTGTTGATCATTAATTAACGCCAATCAACATTAATACGATGTTATAATAAATATATATGTTTCTGCTGTATTAATAATGTCTCTCGTGCAAAGTAAAATGTAATTTCTTATAAAAAATGACGAAAAAAAAACAATTTTTCATCAGACCAGTATCAGTAGATTTATACGTATTGAAGATTGAGATTAAAGATTGAAAGATTGAAATTTGATCAAAAGGAGCTAAAATTCTTTTGTCCTCATAGGTCAAATTTCAAACTTCAATCTTTAATCTCAATTTTCAATGCGTAGTTTGATTCCGGCCTTAGAAATTCTCTGTCTTCTAAATTTTCTCTCTCTATATATTATATATTATCTATAGATATTTATATAAATATAATTGTATTATTACAATATTAAAAGTTTTTCATTATAGTATGGAAATATTTAACTTCGAAAGAGCTACCATTTTTTCAATCCATGGAAAGAGCTACGGCATCCAATTCAATATTGATAAAAGCATTAAAATCATTTCACATTGAATACCGATTTCTAATAAATTGGCATGATATGGACGACAGCAGTGGCCAAGATTAAAAATCTCGAAAGACCAATTCCATTTGACAACAATACTCTTTCTCCGGTCAGAGGGTGAGCACGAAATGCGACACGGTGCTCCATCACCCGGAGTGGAAAACATCATTCGAAGGCGAAAAACTGCGGCTTTTCTACTTTTCGAGCTATCGGATTTTCTCGCTCGGCAGTCGTCAGGATTTCCGTACTTCTCAAGACCAAGTTGATGCAAGAAAGTCCCTTGTGTCCCATCTCTGTTTTTCTTTCTCGCTAAAAGAGTTCATGATTGCACGCGAGATGTGACGAAAAGATGATCGATAATTTCGAAATGTACAATAAAGGGGCAAGCGAATGTATCTCTGATATTGCAGTTTCGAATAATTTCACCACTACCATTCCATAAATTCCATTCATTCTTCTGATCATTACATAGATAGGTTATCTAGAAGCTCCATTTCGGTTCAGTACTTTGAACGTAATTTCAGATATGCATAACAAATGCCGCTTTTGATTAATCGTAATCGTCGAAATATTTGATTGCTTTCAACAATCGTCGGCTTTATTACTTTCTGAGGTGCATAAAAAAGAAAATAGCGTGCGCCCGGCTACTTTTGTATGCACTCAGCGTACTTTATTTATGGCTGTATGAAAATTTAAAGATAGATATGCACGGCTGAATTCTGCAAGAATACAAAATTGCGCTAGGCAGAGCGAACGCGTAAAAGACAGATCGTAAATTTTATGTAGCTACTCGAGCCACCCCAGATCGTCATCGTACAATAGTACCGAAATATCGGAACTTTTACTTACTTGATGTTGCATACAACATTAGGTATATAATCTACATATCTTATACTTGTATCTACGTTTTCTACTTCAACGTTAGATCGACATTATAATAACGCTGAAACAATACTTATTTTGAGGCAAGAAATACAATAAAAAAATAATGAATTATAATAAATCTTATGCAAAAAAAAACTGCAATATTAAAAAAAAAAATAAATTCCTGCCATCTAAATATAAAGTGAAATATAGTTATATAGTTATAAAGTTATATAAAAATTATAAAAATAAAGTTTAGTCTAATCTGTCTTTATAATTGCTCATTCAGAATCGCTAGATAACGAAGGAAATACAAAATGCACCGTGTAAATCATCCGTTTATCGCGGTCGACTCGTTTTGATAAAATGCGCATTTTGCGCCGCTGCGGTATTTCATTTCCTCTGTAAAACGCACGTTCGTCATAGCCGATCCCCTCTCTATCAACGAGCAAAAACCTCTCAACGACGTCGCCAATCCGTCTCACCGCAAAATTCGCGACTGCGGAAAAAGAGAGAGGGAGAGGGAGAGGAGGGAGGGAGAGGGGGAGAGAGAGAGAGAGAGACGGATACAAATAATAGCCCTCTCTCGCCTCGCATTTATCCCTGTCA